AATTATATTTCTTAGGCGGAAATAATCATGTTCATTGCTTAACTTGCAAAAATTATGTTTATAAATAGGGACATATTTTAAGCTAAATTAATTGTTTTATTGGTCTTAATTCAATGTACTTCTTAAAGGGCTATAAATAGAGTAGTTTCAAACGTCCTATTGTGTGTTCTCACGCCATCGGACGTCGAAACAGGTGCCATATTTTGGTAAACAGAACCCGGATGAGCTAGGAAGAAACGTCAGGCTTCATTGAATCTTCTGTGAAAGATGTTACCAATCTTTAAAAGGAGTGAAATGCGTCAGGCACATCCCACCAGGCTGTTTGAGCATGGGATGTCAATTGTAAAAACGCTGGGAATGCTTTGTACAATTAGGACGAGTGTTAATCGTAGATCACCGGAAGTTGCGAATGGATTGTTAAGTTCAAATTATGCTTGGTTGCCAGCAATCTCATCCATTCACCCAGTCATTCGCCGCTTCAACTATCTATCCTTTCACTCATGCATATATCCACTCCTCCATCCCAATACCCTATCCCAGATTTAGCCACCTATCTATCCATTTACTCATCTGCCCATTACTTCTTCCACTAGCTTATCTATTACTTTGTTAACCTATCCCACCTTCCATTTGTTATTTCATTTTAATCCATTCTCATTCATCCATTCTGGCTTTAGCTGCCGATTCTCCCTTCCACCTACATCTTCATTTGGCTATCTCTTTAACCACGCACACATCATTCTGCCCTTCTGTCTCTTCGTCCATCCTTCTGTTCTAGATTTTTTCCATTCTTCAAATCCTTCATTTACTCGTTTGTCCTAACTCCACCCGTCCCTCAAACTTCCCATACACTTATCAAGTCTATCATTCTTACATCGATTCCGTGTGCACCTACCTCTTTATCCAACATGAACAATCGGCTGGTCTACTTTATGTCGGCCGTCTACCATCGACATAAATAATTCTGTTGTGGAAGCACGAAAATTCTGGTAGTATGGAAGGGGAGACAGAAGGTGCGTTATCTGGGCCTCACTATCCATGGAGTCTGTGAATCCACAAAAGCAATCCGTGCTCGAAGGGATGGAGGGTATTGCAAACCTAGTCAATCGTTACTCCTAGATAGGTCCACGAAGTTCTGCGACTTCTGCGCCATGGATTTCAAGGCTTTAATTTGGGAGGTGGTGTTTGGGGCCTCGGATTAAAGTAATCGCATTACTTAAAAGTATTTGCATTAATTGAGAACTAAAGGTGTGACTGAAAATCACTACAAGTCATTTCACATAAATACAGAACTGTAAATTTACAGGGAGAGAGAGAGAGAGAGAGGGAGAGCGACAGACAGTCTTCGAGTGTTTTGAAAGTGCCAGCACAAAAGCGGTGGAGTCTCCTATTGGGTTCAGTCGCGGAGGCGTCTGGAAGGTGGATCAAGCCTACGTGTTTGTGTGCAAATGTGTTTTTGGAGCATGCAAATGACCCTCTATTTGGTCACTGCCTGCCTCCGGTTGACTTTGATATTATTCTTTTCAAAAAACGTACAGGAAGTACTTCCAGTAGACTAGCTGATTTAATTTGGCCGCAATCGGTGGTGAAATACTGAGGATTAATTTGGTAGGATATCAGCACTGCCAATGTCCAGGCCGCCATTGGTAGCCCTCATCTTCCTCTCTGTCTTTGTTCCATCTCACTGGTTGATTGTCTATACCGGCTTCCCGTATTCACCAATCCCGCAAGAATGTCACAATGGAAGTACATCTGCACCCAGTCCGATACCTTGAGTTGAGGATTCGATTGAACTTTAGTGTCGTAGGATCTTTCACTTCTATCCACAAAACCATCCGATCCTAGGTTCGCCACCTATGCACCGTATTCTTGGCCACTAAAACAGAGCTTATGTTTGTTTGATGTGTTTGATAACCTCTTTTGCAGTAGATACCAAATAAGCTGGGAAGTGGGACCGGATCAACGATGATACCTTAATTAATAGCGGAATTTTAGCACCGCAACATTAAACCTAGCAGTTTTGAATAATTCAGCATAATCGATCTGTGCTTCCACTTTGGCCTCCCTTCTCGATCCATTCATTTACTTAGTCATGGCCACATTTTCCTCATCTATTAAACAAATCTCCCATTTAACCGCCTCTTTGCTCGCCTTTGACCTATCTATCCATCTGATGTCTCATCCATCCGTCTATCCACTTCAATTCTCTTCATCCACCCTTTAATCCACCCACTTGGCAATCTATTTTACCGTCCCTTCCTTAACTAATGCATCTCTCCACATGCCCACACATCATTTCATCTGTCTTTGACTCATTTCTGCTTTTCCGACACATTCATTCACTCATCAACCCATTGATCCAGATAGCCACTTTTCGAGATGGAATGTTTTTGCTTAACACCCTCTTGCCCATGATGAGTAAATACATAGGTTTTTATCCAATTCTCACTTCCCCTATTGGTCAATAAATCAAGAATCATCCCACTTTATCGACGGAAAGAGAAGAACGCCGGGTGAAACGCACTGCCTTTAACATTGGGAAATTATTTGTCAAGAGTGGAAGTCAACCGCGGAGTCTATTATCTCGACAGGTTTACGGTCTCTCTAATCTTGATACCGCCGTATATGCACTCAGTCCATATGTTACATCACAGTCCAGTTAGGTATAACCTCCCAAATAGCAAGAGAGCTTCGGAGTAAAGAAACTTGAGTGGCAAGATGAAAAAAGGCTGTGAAATTCCGCAATTCGTTGCGTGACTACTGAAGTTGGTCTACAGCTGGATGAAAAAGTAAGTGGGAGGGATAGATTGATGAGTAGATGGTGGAGCGAACGAATGAATGCACAAATCAAAGGTCGAGTGGATCCGGACTGAGTGGCTGTACGAAGAGATTAGCGGTGGATAACTGAGCGCAGGGAAGTAGAGCCTGATAGACACCGCATAGAAGCATCCTTCATCGAAATATGAAATTGCGCTAGACTTAACGACGCAATCCATCAGGTGATCAAAAAGTACACACGTGTTTTAAAGCATCTCTCTTCAATTGTTGCTCTGTGTAACATTTCCCTGTCCTCTTAAAATTACACCATGTAAAGCCTGCGTTAAACCCGATGGGTGTGAATGGGGCTTGTCACCTTTGTGGTGCAATTTTTGAAGGCGTAGTAGGGAAAATTGCTCTTTTGGAAGCAACCTACATTATTCTCACACGGTCTTATTACATAGTCTATCGGTGGAAAGATTTTAGCTTTACTGTCTCATCCTCCGCGTTCCCCTAACATTTCTCAAAGTTACGAAGATTGTCCTTCCTTGGTATTAGATGCTTCCAATAGATAGTTGAGAAATCAGAATGGCACAGCGGTAGAGGTAGCTAAAGTTTCATTGTCTACTCCTGAGGATAAAACAATTTTAGGTAAAAGTAAAACTGGCAGCCACCTGAATTGTCTCATTGGGAAGACAAAAGGGGGATCACATAGCCGAACAATAACATCTGAAATTGCCTCCCTCGGTGGTTCTTTTTATCCAATTTTCAAAGGAAACAAAACAAAACGGCATGCACAAGCATTTATGGCTTCTATGTTGTTTTTTTTTTTTTACCTATCCACGTGGTACGTCCAGTTAACTTGCCTGATGCGCTACATTTAAAATCTGTTCTGGCTAAACCATGTACCCCGACCTTAAGCAATATGAGTATTTAATTATACGATCTGGAATAATTCAAGGAAAGGGCATTTCAACATTTTGTGATGTCTTAAAGGAATCGGTCGCAATTCAGGCAACTCCTGAAATTCAGCTGAAGGTACTAAGATGGATCTGGAATGGTGTCATTGGAAAGCACATGAATATGTTGCTGGTTGGACAGATAAAGGGTGGCAGGATGGATGCTGGAGAAATACGTGGACAAATGGATAGATCGGGTTAACAGACGGTTGGACAGATAAATGGATTTGTAACTAGAAAAATGGACTGAGGGTTAGGTGTATTCGTGCACTGATAATGAAGCAATTCCTAGACCCCTTTGAGGGTGATATAACGTCTTCACGGAATTCAAAAAGGAAGGCAGGGGAAAAAACGCGTCGAGAATTTCGCACTGCATCAATAAATAAACCCCCGAGGAAACAATCATGTGATCAGCGGTACGAATGGAGGACGGAGGGTTGAGTGGAAGGGGAGGCAAATGCTAATCCCCAATATCGGCCTCCGTGTGGCTGTTGTATTATGGCAGGATCACGTGATCTCCCAGGAATGAATGACAGACGGGACATGACCGCACCACATAGGGGACTGCTGGCTCGGTCCTGCCTAAAAGTTTGCAGCGTGAAACGTTGGCAATTCCATTCATTTCTTTGTCTATCTTTCCATTCAATCATCGGTCTGGCAACCTAAGTGATGGCATTAAAAAGGCAACCTTCACTCCCATTTTGTAAAGGCCAGTACTGTCTGCCTGACTCTTGCCCGTCGGTTCTTTTAAAAGTCACCTCGGATATGAGTCATCAGACCTCCTGTTTGGACGCGGACGGTCTGACGAAATTCTAACACTCCGGAGTTAGTGCAGAGGGAGTATGTGGCTCCTCTAGTGGATGAGTGAAGGTGAAGCCTGTAGCGCCTGCTCAATCCCAAATCGATAAGATTTCTTCCCTCTTTTTTTATCTATCATAAGGTAATTTAAAACGCAGTCCACTGAATGATCCATCACTTCCTTGGTTTGGAGGGATGAAAGGGGAGAGCTGGGCAGTCCGACCGTTGAACTTCTTCCTGAGATTTTATTTCTTAGTTCAAAGGTGATGTAATTTTACTCAACTTTAATGGCTTTTTGTGAGTAAAATTTGCTCCAAATGTCGTAGCTTAGTCGCACTTGGCTAAAAGAAAAGCTAAGCTATATAAACCTGAGTTTTTCTACCACGAGACGGTCCATGAACGCACTTGCCGCCGCTGTCACATATATGTGACGCCTAGATCTTGTGTGAGTATAGAATAGCACAATAACGAGTCTAGAATGGCGTCATGTTAAAATGTCAAGTCATTCGAATTCGCAGTGGTCGACACTTTCCCATGAGAGGTCTTGACAGTGAACGAGCTTACTTGGGCAGGTTCTCGCAGCCTTTGCAACTATTTATGCCGACTGGTGGGTTAGATTTTCCACGAGGGATTCACTGGTACCATTTCTCCAATCCGCTTCCACAAATAAATTTTTCCCTTAAAATAGTTCTACTCGTTAGTACATAGACATGTAAAATACTTCTAGACCTTAAAATGGGGGAATTCCATTGGTGTAGCCTACCTGTAACCAACACGCCCCCCCCCCCCCCCCCCCCAAACCTGGTTGAAGTTGGAGGCTGTCCCTTCCCACCAAGCGCGTTTATTTACATTAATAAATTAAAACAAATTTTATTTGGGCAGAAACATACTTGTTTTTCATTTTTTGTGCAACAAAAGAGCATTTTAGGCTAAGTTTGAAATCCGTTGCTCGGGCTTTTTTGTTTGTTATTGGGAAATCAAATAGAGTGACTGTTGTCTTGGCTATTTGGTATGGTGAATTTCACCGTTGGGTCGTCGACAGAATCTCAGCCGTTTTACTACTTGTATCTAAGTAAGTAAACGTATAGCCAAATAAAGTTTGGTTTGAATGATTTTTCGTTTTTTTTTCACCCATGGGGTAGCTTGTGCAAAATACTGTTTTAGAATCTTTTTTGTTTGTGCGGTGTTAGAGCTCAGAATTAGACACTTTTACTGTCTGGACCACCCAAATACATATTAAGGTCCACTCTTGTTTTGTTGTCCCTCTTTTTTTGTCCAAAATGAAACCAATCATCTTCTAGTTATGTACTAGAAAAACGATTAAACGTTTTTTTTCTCCCTCTAAAGATGACTTATGAGTAGTATTTTTGTTGTCAAACTCTGGTCGGTTTTATGGCGAAACTTAAGGGACTGAGCAGTACCTACTACCCCGTTTCCTAACCGGCAGCTGTTTTACTTTTGGCTCGTGCACTAGAGCCTCGACGATATCGTATCATTCTTATCTGGTACCAGTACTGGTACCACCAAACCTAACCAAACCAACCTCTGCTTACCAACAAAAATATGCAATTACCCTTCAGGCCGAGAACATTTGCAATCTTTTATGGGTTTGAACTCCCATCAATCTGTTTGTCACTCGCGATTTGGGGCAGTCTCGCTTACCCTACGGCGGTAGAGAACGCACATACCACATATTTGTGACTCCGGTGGTAAACATAGCAATGCGCAAACATTCGCTTCACTGGAAACCAATACCAATGTTTTTAAGACATTTTTTTCCATACGTCGCATCGACAGAAATCCTGTCATTAGAGGGTTTTAAGTTGATAGAGGTTTTTTTATAAAAACATGACATTGTTTAAGTGTGCGAGCGCTCCAAGCCCAGGAGGTTGGACTTCCGCTCTGCGGAGTGGGCCTTCGGGCCATACCACTAGCCTCACTATTTCTCTACATATTAATAAGTAATGTATTCTTCCAGCACGACTTTTGGCTTGCTACAACTTTGGGGAGTGCTGGAGACGCTTAAAAACCAAATTATGGATGAACACGACTTTTTTGATTTTCTTTTGCAGAAAAACAGTAGCTTGTTTATGCGTAGAGTAAAAGCTTATTTGATTAGCGAAAACCAAGCTCTTTAAATATTTGCGTTTTTTATGATGCAAAAAGACGATTTTTCCCAAATATTTCCCCCTCTTCTTTGTCATTTACTACTTCTTCTTTGTCTCTCACTTCGGCAATAAGGTGTGACAAGCCAAAGAATTGAGCCTTCTCAACCACTTTGATGCGGCGCTGATCAGAAATTGTCGGTAATAGGCTAGGTTTGCCCGATCACGTCATATTGTAGATGCCTTTTTAGCACTTATCGTAAATAGTCTTATGTGCTTTTTTTTTAGTTTTGAGCAAGTGATTTGTTCCTTCTCTTAAAAAAAATCTTACGCATCTCAAGGTCCAGAAAACCGGCGTCTGCGCTCCCCCGTCATAACAGAAGCTTCTGAAAAAGTTATTACACAATATGTCAGATTAATTTACTTGTTTGTACACTTGGAAAAATCACACCACAAGGAGATGCAATTTCGGGGTCGAGTAAATTTGACGCTTGACTGATAAGACCTCCACTTTTCCTCTCCGGCCGGTGATCTAAAGCCTTCCACTTAAACCCAAGTGGGGCATTGTTGGAGGAGCTTCTACTGTGTTAACCAGATCAAAGGGTGTGGTAGATCCAAGGGTGCAGCAGGTTTTTTTACCTTGCCTTTGGATACGTGTGACTGACTCCACCAAAACTTCCTCTCCGTCTCTAAACTCGGGTGTTGTTCCATTTCAAAATCGGTGTTTTGGTAACCCCTGGACTATGTCAGTTGTCTGTCAGACTGTTATTTTTTCCCTATGAGTAAACGGTGTGCCCGAATAACGAGTATCGTTTAGGCCTAACGGAGAATGTTGAAGTTGGGTAATAAAACAGCAAATATCAGGGTGCAAAAGTCGCATTCATCCTGTCTAGCAGTTTCTTCCCGTGGTAATGACGAATTCAGGTGTTCGACTTGTCTGAACAGGAATTGGACTAGAACGTCCATGCCTGTCCTGTTTCATTGCGTCGTCGGTGAATTATCCAGCAAGCGGACACTTCATAACGCATAATTACGAATCCTTGAACTCCTCATCCGTAGTTTGATTAAAATTTGCTGTTTTTAACATTTTCCTTGCATACAAATAATTTGGACTGACTTTGTGGTAGGGGAGGTTGTCTGGACAAACACTGACTCCGATCGTATTAAGTTGGCTTGAATTGGCAGCCTGCCGTACAAAACCAACTGCTGAATTCAAGATGTCAATCAAAGATTGTCAATCTGGTTAAACTAGCAAAATAAACTATTTTTCTCACATTCTGGCCTCCTGTTAATTCTTTTTCTAAACCTTCGTAGAATCTCTCGGAGTTATCCGGCCCCCACCTCTCTCCGGATGACTCTGTTACCCCGGATGAAGGCTACCGCACAGCTAATCATCATTTGCCCTCGATTCCCCAGGGGAAGGAGCTTATCATTCCAGTTAATGCACCACCTTGTTACCTTCACACTACGGATGTTGATGCTACTACTGGTAGGTCAAGTGCCTCCTGTCCCCCTCTGATTGGCTAATTAGGGTAACCTTTGGAAGTTGAGCGCGAATTTTGATCTAATGGTTGTAGATGTCCTGAGACATGACTGGTTATCTTATTCGCCTCGATTTCCACAGAATTTTAGATTTGTTCGCCCATTACTTGCCTACGACTAGGAAATTTTAATCTTAAGAGATATATTTTAATTTTATTCCCCCTTTTTCCTTTTTAGGCACCGTATTGATTGAATGTTGAGCAAAATGTCATTTAAAAATAAACTTCTACTTTCCTTTTATTACTTCAAATTCAAAATCGTTGTTTGTCCAGCTCCTGATTGGGCAGTAATGGTTCTCGTTTGTGATTGGTTGCTCATCTCTTCAAATTTGAAATTAATCTACTTTCTCAGTTTCCGTTTGCTTTCACGTTTGTCTTGGTAACAACATTTTTTAATTAGCTTCTCACAAATGTCACTTTAATCTTCCAAAAATAGGCTCCAAAAACGTGAGGATTAACTCCTCTTTTCCCTACTTGGATGACCACTTCCCGGTATTATGATAAGCTCTTAATTCCTGCAGTATAACATAATCTCCTTTCCTTCTGAAAAGCTTCTTTTTTGTCGATTTTGACATTGTATTCTTATTTTTGGTCATAAGATTTGAGTAAATTGGTAATTCCATCTTTCTCCACTCTATTAGGCCGATTATTATACCTGGGTTCTCTGACTACTTCGAAGGTGAAATTGAATTGTGATGATTTATTTCAAGTGTTCATTTAGGCGGTTCGAAGTTGACTTGATAAGGCTACAAATATAAAATGCGCTTCAAGATGAGAGAAAGGATGATACTATTATAAATCTCCGTATTAATCTTCCCCACCTCCTCCGTAGCCTCATAGTACTTTTTTAAAGTAGTTTTTTCTCACCTTGCCCGTTCATTGGCGCAGGACACTCACATGATCATCACATGCGAAGTGGAATAGACAGCGGGAAAGTATATGAAAGAGAGGGAGGTGGTTAGGATAGGATTTTTTTTCTGGGGTCCTAGAGACAAAACGTTTAGTGGAAGCAAGCATGTGACTCGTAGGGCAAGAAACAAAAATACACAAATGCCCTTACTGTAGTTACTAAGTTTTATCACAGATGATCAAACTGACTTACTACTGAGTTAGTAATTCTAGATTTCCAAGTATGAACCTGAATAATGTTGTAATTGTTTCTTCAACTTTGATATATACTGTTTCCGGTACTTCTAATATCGATTTAAGTAGTATGCACCCGTCTCATTCAGATAGTTTTAGAAGTAATTAAAAACTACTTATTTGTCACATCCAACTCATCTTTCATGCTCAGTTAGTTAATTGTATCGTCCATCCATCACTGATTTAACAAGTTAATGATTAAGTCCGAAACCAAATCACTACCTCATTCAATCGTTTGCTGCAGAATTCAGCCTTCCCTTCCTCCTTGGACCTCTTGCAGATACACATCCCATCTATTAGTCCTTCCTTCCCGTATTTGTCTACCCAGACTCATCCATCCATTATGTGCCCAGTCCTTTGTTTGTTTGCGGTGGGGGATATAAGTGTGCAAATGGCGAAATGCAGCCACATTTTGCTTACTTTAAAAAGTAAATTCTCTCTGTTCATTTTCCCTGGATTTCCACTCTTTTGGAAAGGAAATTTTAAACTATTTTGATTTTGTCAATCGTTGCTTCTCTTAACCCTGCTCTGTTTAAGTGCACTCCTGAAAAATTGGTGCAGTAGCGTCAAATCCAGGAGCACACGTTCGTATCACATTCTTCCCTTCTTCTCTGCCATTCCTTTGAATTGCTACTCTGTTGCTTTCACTAATCCTCATGTGTCTGCATTCAGCCAAATGTTCGCCAATTTGGCCATTTTTAGACCTTCCAATCCACTTATAAGTGGAAGAGAGGAAACCTCATTCCCCCTCCCTCCTTCCAATTCGAATAGCCAAACCTATGAAAAACACTACACCTTCTACTTTGCCACAGTTTACGTAGTGCGGATTTTACTGCCACCTTGACACCTCTTTCATAATGCCTCTCTCAGTCAATCGACATGTCTGTTGGTTATTCCCCACTTACCATAGCTTCTGAGGTTTAAAATTCGCTTGCCCTGCATTGTTAGCGGATTCTTGGTATAAAGTCGCATTCAATGTTCCGTTGCTTTATTTTACCCCTGTTCCTTTGTTAAAATAACTTCTACTTAATATGCCCAAGTGGAACTTATTCTTTTTCAGTATTCACTGAGTTCTGTGCACGTCAAACCGCCCGCTTAGGTAGTAGCGGTGAGGCTTTCAGTACAACAGTGGAGGTGAAAGAACAACTTATCACGGTAAGGGAAACAAAACGACGACCTTCTTGCAGTTCAAAAGGAAGCGTCACGGTAGGTCCCATTCGTGGTTTTGGGGATCTGATGGAATACTTTTAAGTGTGGAATTTGATTAGCTCAGGTGTTGATCATGAGGCCTGGACGCGATCCGATGACAATTCACTCACTGTCAATTAAAAAGTTATGCACAATTGATGGGCAATTAAACAATCAAATTTAAGTGGTTAATATGGCTACATTCTACAATTCACTCCACTGCAAGCATTGTGGTAACCTAGAGGCGACTCATTGTTCGCTCAACATGCAGCGTGATCATTTGTCTGCTGCTTTTTGGCTGATTTAAGGATGTCTAGGCGTGGATTTGGATACATTTACGCTAAAATTATTAGAGTGGGAACTCAGGAAATGGAATTAACCAACCGAAACTGATTTTGCCTTCCTGGACATTTGAATAGAAAGCATCTGGATGTCGACTATCTGTGATTTGAAACTTGTTGGTTGGTAGACTCCACTATTTACATGAAAAGAGGGTGTCAGGATCAAAGAAGCCATTCAATAAATTTGTGACTTACAAAACCAGCTGAGGGAGTACACACTACTGAATCCACTTGGCGCTACTTTGAGCTGACCGCGATCCCCAAAAGACGCAGTCTTTAAACTTAGTTCGTTTGAACATACTACTGAAGCCACTAGAGTAGGATTTGAGCAGATATGCCACACTTCATGTTGGCTGAATTGATAAACGGAAAGGCCAATAGCAGCTAGAATGAATGGACGAAAGGATGAAAATGAAATTGAATAGATGGATTAACACGATTTGATTGAAATGAAAAGACACCTGTAATGGAACGTGTGGATGAACGTTCTTCTCTTTGCCTCACTGCTAGACATCGACCGACGCAAGTGAGGCAACATCCATGGATCTCTCAAACTCCAGTAGCAGTAGCAGCAGTAGCACTGCCACAACAATAACCACCACACCGACAACAACCTCGTCCTCTGCGAAATCTGCCGCTTCCTCCACCAAACAGCGGTGTCTCAGCGAGGTGTCACCCCAGCCAACGTCAACGGCTAATCCGACTGTCTTGCAGAGATTCAACTTTTCGCCGAAACCTCATGGATTCTTTGGAAGGCTTCGGCTGTTTTCGCACAACAGTGTAAGTCTGGGCTTTGAATATTGCTTAAAAAACCTGTTTTTTGAACTTTTTAATGGAAGTTAGATGACGTTTTATAAAGGTAGGGGCATTAGTTTTAAATAGTTTTGGAACCATTCCAGACAGTAAAACAGAGTATTCTTTTCAAAGCAAAATCAAGCATAAAGACTGGAAAAGGTGTTACCGTTAAGCTTTTAAATAGAGCACTGCAAATGGTACATTTTTAGCCAAGTGAAGGTCTTTCAGGAAACACGATGACAAGACAATGAGTGGCTTTACTTTATTCTCATTGACAGGAGTGGTTAAGAGGATGGTGATTAAAACCTCAGGTCCACAGTGGAGACAAACACTGTCCATCTTTCTGGGCAAGTCGAAGTTGTTCTGTACAACGGTTTCGACTTTTACCTCCACTGATTTGAGGTTTTGAAGGCCTCAAATGATGCCTGGATGGAGACTTGGGTGCTAGCCAGGCGTCCACGTGGAAGGGAAGTGATCAGCACTTCGTCAGTGGCGTGAGAACCCTCCAATAACTTCATAATATCCATTCTTGAAAGCTACCCACTAGACAGGGTTAGCACTGTTCCAACGATGACAATATCACAGACCCGATAAGGACAAAATTACGCCGAAGTTCAGCGAGTCCTTAGAGCAAGTAGTAGGTCCGGCATGCCTATTCTCATGATTCCATTGAAATCATGCACGTTCTCTGGCACAATTCAACTGTCCTTTCGCCCCAATATACGTCGGTAACTTTAGGTTTAGTAAAATCGAGACGAATTTTGATGTTTATAAGAGGTTTAAAGGTGGTGTAGAAGACGCCAAAGGCTCTTTTCATTGTTTTGCACTTCTAACGTATTTTAACGCTTCTCCAAATCGTCTGGATAACAAACTGGTGACCCATTCTACTCCATCCGTCTAACATAAACGACGTCCATTGAAACCTTCTTGGCAAGATTGAAATATCTCAGTCCACTTTTCGTACCTGTCACTTTATTTACTTTTCGGGTGACTTCACCTACTCACTGCCATTTCAGTAGCGTGAAGGCTTGTCTTCAGTTCACAAAGGCAATTCATTGTTTCTAGGCTGGCCCGTTAGGTATACATAGGATAAATTACTCCTTTTGAAAGATAGCTACCAGATGAGAGGTGATGTTGTCTGTCTTCTGACTCAACGACTCTAATGAAGATTTGATTCGTGGATGGATGGGTGTTTCTTCAAGTGGGGCTACCGTATGGATATCGGCCATTCCACACTGATTTTAAAATGTCTAGGAGACTGAGCAACTCCTAGGACTGTAGTGCAATAAAACATGTGGGTTTTAGCACCTAAAATACACCATTGTCTTCCTATCCAAGCAAATTTCATTGAAGAATCTCCGCCCGTTCCAAGGACTTTGTTTCCTTCTAGCCACTTTGAGCTTTTAAGAGGTTAGATGATGTCTCCAAAATGAGTTACTTTGGTGTTATTCTTTTCTCAAAGTTACACCTTTATTCCAATAACTGCCTCAAATTTGTCTTAGATTTGTCTTCTATACACTTTTTCGGTTTTGCAACGTAAGTTGAAACCTCGGAATCGTCGTGTATTTTCTTCTTGGCGGAGGACTTTCAAGTTTTTCTATCCAAGTCTAATTGCTTAGTTTAGTTCAGAATATCGCCAAAAATTTGCTCACGATCGCCCATTCAACCGCTCCAAATGGATGTTCCAGGCATTGCTTCCATTGCTTGCACCTTTCATCTTTTCTCAGTTATTTCTTCAATGCCTACTGAAATCAAGGAAATTTTCTCTCATGTGGAGACTGCTCTCTGTTTGTCGTAAATCTTTATAAATCCATCCGACTTTAGACCCCCTTTTTTCGGAGAAAATCAGGGGCACATCTTAATGGAAGCCATCGATTCCCTTGAATGGACTACTTCAATTGTGACACCTCAAAAATGCTGAGGGCTTCAATTGGTTTGGATCGTCAGAATTTACCTTGTAGACCTTTCTAAACCATCTGCTTCTTGAATGTCTGGATTTACTCCAAAATTTTTCATAGATCAAAGGACTTAGAACTGACATGTCTCCTCTTAGAGTCATTGACCTTCAAAGATTTAAATGCGGTGATTACAAAAGACTTCGACGAAATTAAAATATGTTGCCTAGTGAAAAGAGACAACGGCTGTGGTTCAAATTTTCACGAATTTGAAGAATGTAAAGCGCCATACTGGAACCTTCATGAAGCTTTGGAATACTGCGAGCTCAAATTCGTTGGACGGTTATTCTGAATTTTCACATCTGAATCTAACCTTTTCCGAGGAGAAAGCCTCGTCCAGGTCTTCAGTTTGTAATTCCATCTTCTCGAATTGTCTACAATCGCAAAGTTTTAATGACTTCTACCAATTTCTTAAGCTACTGGCTTTTATTTAGCTAAAGGATTGTTCATTTTCTTGAATCCTCTGACAGTTGTCCATTTTTGGTCGCCTAAAGCGCTGTATGACGGTGCAACTTTTGCTAAGAAAGAAATCATGCCCCATTTTTGCCCATAGCCAACTACATCCACGGCCTCGAGGACCACTGATTCCTTTTAAATCACCAAAATCCGACAGTAGTTTAATCTTCAAGGCCAAGGGCATCGACTGCCTTGAATATGCAAAATTCCACTATCAACTTTTCCTGTTAGGAGTTAATAATAAGCCCAAGGGTGTTGATCGAAAGTGTCCATCAATTCCAGGGGTTTTGGTCGTCCAGAATCTTTCAAAATCGACCAAGACGTCAAATCGTAGATCCTTGGCAGAAAAATGAATTCAGTTGGAGGATTTATTAGGTTGAAGACCTAAGCTGTCCTTGGGTGTTACTTAATTCCCAAATTCTTGAATAACTCAAAAGTCTGTTGGAGATCAGTCGGCACTTCGCAGACTTCATCGATGTCTGTATAGTAGAAAGGAAGGCTCTGTAATCCATCCATCTCTGGCTCTGGTCTTAAAACCAGGCAGAAATTGCTACACCCTTCTCTTGTGCAAGTTAAAACGCTACTCGGACTGTACTTTTACTCCTCCTCTCGAGGTCACACACGTTAGAGTTGGGGTCATGCAAGATTAAGTTGGTGGATAATTCCTGATAAGGAAAAGGAACTAAGGAAGACTTCTTACAACAATCATAATTACTGCAGTTGATCATCCCTTCCACTCCTACAAATAGATTAGTCTCTAGAAGGCAACACTAAAACTGATTTTACTCACTTTCATCTCCACTACATCACTACGTTCCAATTGCCCGCTTACTCAATTTCGCCTTGAAGCATGTGGCTGTGCACTTGTGATGTCGGGGGATGATACTTGCATGCGG